TTGTGAGCTAGAAAAATCTATGATTATTCTATTTAAAAATTATATGGTAAAACAAGATTACACCCAGTCTAATCAGAAAAGACTGAATGAAATATAAAATATGTCAAAGAAGACTGACCTTTGTCCCACCCATGGTGTTGGCACATGACTGGATCATGCAAATTCCTCTTTGTTGTGCAACTCAATGTTGTGGGTCAAAACTGGCAGTGAAAAGTGCATTAAAAATCACGTGTGGAACAGAAAATGTTGTGCAGTTGTAGAATGGCCCATGAATTATCGCACTCTCATTAGATTACCAAAATACCTTTTTATCGTCACATCTTTGGGAATGCATCATTACGTCAATTTGCCCCAATTTAGTTTTCAGTCACAAAACTGACACTGCGCCTCTTTGGTAAACCCCGATAACAGCTTTATCGATTGCCATTAGGGTTTTGTGGTGGCGCAGACATGACTAAATCTGGCCCTGGATATCAAGCTGACAGCTTTGACTACTCGTTTTGTCTTAATTAATCTTGCGTGACACAGCCTACTGTTCAAACGTGTCTTTAAGAAAAACAACAACAACAACAAAAATGAACCTAATGATCACTAAATATTTTCGTGTATTGTGCGTAGCTGATCTCAAATAAGAGGACACTATCCCTTTAAGAGCCAATTCTTCTGACTGCACGCGGCCATTTCCGTCTCCAACCAGCCGGTGGTGTCAGTCAACAACCCTGGAGACTTCAAACCACTCTGAACATATACCCTACACCTCTGAATAGGGTAGGTCTTATATTACTGTTAATTGCTTTAATGGTACGCCACAGTTACATGGGTTGAACGGAGAGTTTGAATAAATTACGGACACGTTGAGTGCTTTCAGTAAAGACTTCAAGCCAGCTTGTACTTGACGTTTTCTAATTTTAGCGTCCCAATGCTAGCTAACATGCTACACTGGTGCTAACGTTACTAGCTAGCGGCACTTAAGTACGGTTATACAGAAAATGCTATGTTCTTGTCGCAGCGGATAGCTTTAAAGTGGATGTTTTTATATGTGCTGCTTGCTTATTTTAATCTGTGAGAAAAGGAAAAACGCAATGTTTGGTGCCTAGTTTCTTCTTTGTTTACAAATGTAGCTCCTGCAGAGTCCATAGGTTGTCCTTTAGCTACCGGGTGTTAGGAAAGCCTTTTGTATTTGTGTGCAAGCAATTAAAAACCATCAAAAGAGTGAAA